CCTATCTACTAGGTTACTCTATAAGCTAAAAAAGCTACCTATTTTGCAAGAAATATGCCTAAAGGCTAAGCTTAACGTTAATATAGTTAGCGCCGCCGCTTTTATAATTAACGCGCGTAGAAAAAACATTATAATTAGGCACCTTAGTGTCTATAAGGTTAATTAGCTTATTACTAATAGAAAGAAAACTCTAGTTACTAATCTAGAGAAGAAACTCTACTAACTAGTTACTAATAGACTTCTATCTCTAGAATATACTAGCGTAACTATAGCCTATTTTTTTAAAAAAGAATTCTAATACTCTACTACTATATAAAGAAGGTATAGATTATAATATTAAGCTTATAGTAAAAAATATCTTAATAAATAGTTCTCTTTATAGTATATTACTAGAGTACCTATAGTTAGTACGCAATTATCTAGAGAACTACCTTTATTATAGCTTTATTATTTATAGTAATATATTATACGCGTTACTAGTTCTATTTACTAAAAAGCTAGGTAGAGAATAAAGGTTCTATATTAACTATTAAAAGCTTAACGCTATTACAAAAAAAGATATCTATTCTATCTCTCTTATCTAGAAAACGCTTATATGCCTATTACGCGCTAAGGTCTTTACTAAGTTAGACGTAAGGTAAGCTTTCTACTAAATCTAGCTAAATAAGTTAGTAGAGAACCTAACGTCTTTCTATACATAGTATAGTAACTATAAGTATTAAGTTCTACTTTTTAGTCTCTATAATAGCTCTACTACCTTTTAGTAATATATTAATAAAGTGTTATATAGCTTGCTAGATAATTTCTATATAGTCTATATTAATAATATTCTTATTTATTTAGAGAATCTATTTAAGTATAAAGCCTATATTACCTAGATACTTAATTAGTTATATAAAGCTAGATTATAAGTAAATATTAAGAAATTTAAATTTACTATTAAAAGTACTAAGTTTCTAGAATTAATTATAAGTACTAATAGAATCTAGAAGAACCTAGAGAAGGTTACTACTATCTAGAACTAGCCTGTACCTATAACTCTTAAGAGCCTTTAATTATTCTTAGTTTCTATAATTTCTACTAAGTCTTCTTAAAGAACTACGGCTAGATTATTCGCCCTCTTACTAAGCTACTAAAATAGAGAGCATAGTATACCTTTAGAAAAATTAAGTTTATAGTATTTTAGTAGGTTAAGAATCTTATACTATCTAATACTATACTAGCTTATTATTCTCTCTATTACTATATAAGAGTAGAAACAAACGCGTTAGATAGCGTAGTTACTAGAGTTCTTTTATAGCTTTAAGAAGATAGTATCTAGAGACTTATAGCTTTCTTTAGTAAGATAATAAATACTATCTAGATAAACTATAGTATTTATAATAAAGAAATACTAGTAGTTATTCTTAGCGTATAGAAGTAGAGAAGCTAGTTAATTAGCTTATAAGATCTAGAGACTTTTACAGTATTAACTAACTACTAAGCCTTAGAGTATTTTACTACTAAGTAGAAACTTACTACTAGGTAGGTCTACTAGATAAATAATATTACTAACTATAACCTTAAGCTTACCTATTAACTAGGTTTAGCTAATATAGCAGCTAACGCGTTATTCTAGAAGTAAGAAGAGCTTAAGACCTAAAAGAATAAGAATTATACTACCTATACAAGAGCTTTTCTAAGTAAGAAGCAAATTAGCCTCTTAGCTATTAAGTAATTATTAGGTAAGTTATTAGTTCTAGCTACCTAAAAATTAGCTAGTAGTACAATAGAAATCACTACTACTAATACGTTTATAGAGATACTCTCTACTAAGAATCTATATACTATAATTAATTAGGTTATTATAGCTAACTAGTTAGACAACTCTTTATAGCTAGCTTAAGAAAAAGCTACTATATTAGACTCTGTCTAGAAAATAGAAGATAGCTTATTAATCTATTAGAATTAATTAATAGTCTCTACTATTAACTATCTATAAACGTATTTAATACGCGCCGTGTATACTACTTAGGTAACTACCTATTTAGAGCGCTAGAAAACTACCTAGTTACTATAAGATTAATATTACTAGCTAGATATATAAAAAGCTATTAATACGTATATAGTAGTATATAAGGCTTACTACTAGAGCTATACTTTACGTAATAAAACGCTAGGTCTTCTAGAGCCTCTACCTATTTCTAAGAGAGCTTAGTAGAATATTTCTATAGATTTTAAGAGCTTCTTCTCTAATAAGAAAGAATTTAACTACGTATATATTATTGTAAATTAGCTAAGTAAGTAGAGCTTCTCTCTTCTCTACTATAAGAAAACTATAGCTTAATATATAGTAAAGCTATATTACTAATATATTTAGCGTATATATAGTTCTTCTAGGTCTATTATATTAGATTATAACTTATAGTTTACCTCTACCTTTATAGATAAGCTCTTTACTATATACTACTCGTAAACTAATAGAAATATAGAGATTATTAATTAATATTTTAATTAGCGTCTACGTCTATTTATTAACTACTACTAGAATAATTAGTTAGACCTTCTACTCTATATAAATTAGGTATAAGCTACGTTACTATATAAAACTATAGAATTAATAGCATACAAAATTAAATTTAGATACTAGCTAATATACTACTAGAATTAAAAGAAGCGTATAATAAAGGTTTCTACTCTACGTAAGCGTCTCTCGCGCTAGAAAGCTTAGAATTTTACTAAGAAGTAATATAATACTGTAGAAAAAGCTACTAGAATTATACAAAGTAATATTGTAAAAGCGTAAGCTAGATAGACGCTCTAAGTAAATAAAAAGCGCTAAGAACCTAATTTTACTATAGGCAACCTTGTCTATATTAAATCTTATAGCTTTTCTATAGATTAGTCTAGTATAAAGCTTAATTAATAGATATATAGCTTTTACCTAGTTATTATTATAAAGAGTTACTTTTTCTAGCTCTAGCTATCTACGTATATACGTATACATAACGTCTTTTACGCTAATTAGTTAAGAAAAGCCTTATAGCTATTACTAGAGTAAGTAGAGTCTAAGTAGCTATCTATTAAAGTTAATAGTAATCTAGAATAGCCTGTATATAAAATTCTAGATAGCTATCTTTATTAAAATTATCTTTAATACTACGCTATATAGGTTACTTATAATTCTAACTCTATCTAGTATAATACTATAGGCTTTATTAACGCTCTCTATAAGATAAAAGACTTTTACGTAGTATACCTAGATAAGCTAGAGCCGCTATTATAGTTAGATGCTTAAATTAAGGCGTATAAAAAGAAGAAGACTCTAGAGAAGATAGCGAAGAATTTAAAACTTATAAGAGTAGAAGATATAAGAGTAACGCAAAGATACTACTAAGAGATTTAAGACTCTACTAAGCTTATAGTATTATTTAAGAAGAAAGCCTATAATAAAGCTACTCTATAGACGTAGAAATAAGCCTTCTAGTTTAAATCTCTATAAGAATAAAGTAACTAGAGAGAAGGTAGTAGCTATAAAAGCGCTTCTAGTTTAAAACTAATACGAATATACTTACTATAAGCTAAAAGAGATAGTTAAGAGTATAACGTAAGAGTTTTAGAAGAAGAGAGACCTAGAAGGCGTATTTTAGAGCTTAGAGATAAGCTCTTTCTATAAGAAAGAGTAATATAATAGTCTAGTTTAGAGATTTACCTTAAGTTACGTAATCTTATTACGTAACCTAGCCTAGCGTCTTAGTACTTAGCACCTCTATATATAGAGCCTCTTAGAGTCTTTTCTCTACTTCTTATCTTTAGATAGCTAAATTTAACTTAACCTACTCTGCTAGTATCTCTTATTCTTATAGCTTATAGAGATAGTACTATCTATAGCTAACTTACCTAGCTAGGTATTCTAGAGGCGCTTATAGTAGTAGAGACTATAAACCTAGCTCTTACAAATATAGTAAGAAAAGTTACTAATAGTAGTTATAGTAGTAGATAATAGAGGTAATAGAAAAGACTTTCTAGTATAATAATAGAGAAACGTTTACTAGTATAGAAAAGTATAGTAGAAAGAGAAGAATATAGAAAGATAAGATATTCTACTTATTAATAAGTTATCTACTATTAGTAGTAATAATAGTAGAGTAGTATTATATAGCTAAATAGCTTAGTAATAGATAGTACTAGTAGTAATTTACGTAGCTAGTAGTAATAGGCGAAAATAGATAGTATAGCTAAATAAGTAGTAGTAATAATAGTAGTAGAAGGTATAGAATAAGTAAGCTATTATAGTATAATAAAAAGTAAAGTAAATTATTATAGTATAGTAGTTAGTAGAGCGCCGAGCTTATAACCTATTAAAGTAACAAAGTAAAGTGTAATATTATTAATTATATAAGAGCTGGAAGCTCTAGCTATATACACTAGGCTAGCGCGATCACATAATCAACATGTGATCCTTAACAGTAAACAATACGTTCCAGTCCTCCTACCAGGTGCCGTATGGCGGCTTCCGCCAACAAGAGCAACTCGAGGATTTCCCAAAGCTGGTCTACAGCGCAACTACAGCCGGTGCAAAAGATGTTGAGGCGTTCAAAATTGTGGTCCTAGAGCCTCTCCGCTGCCATATCCGTCTCCCCTGGGATTACAACCGCGGGCGCTCATGCAGGCTGTACTTATCCAGGTCTCGCCAAGATGACTTATTTGCAATCGACATGACAGAGACTAAAAGTTCGTTCGAACAGATCCAGTCGAGTGACGGCGAGAATGCAAGTGGCGACGAGAATGCAAGTGCGAATGATCTTATCCGGTGATTCGAAGAAAAGCTCCGCAACGGCGGGCTTTCCAGCATTCCATATGCTACTGATATCGATGCCACAACAACAAGGCAGCGCCGCCACGTAGGGCTCCGCAAAGAAGTCTCATCGCTCCTCTTCACGGTAACCGACTTGATCTCACTAAGGAGGATACCTGGTCTTCATTATCCCTACGGATACCTGTCTCATCGTTAGTTTAGTGCACCATTTACGCTCCACGTCGAGGACTTCCATCTACTCTCCATTAACAACCTTCACTTTGGTAGGAAGATATGGATAGTAATCCCGGAAGCATCTTTCGACACACTCGAGCAAAATCTACGGCAGCGAATCGATCGAGAGAAGGGCGACATCTGTTATCAGTTTGTTCGACACGCACCAACATACCTTCCTCTTAACATTCTTAAGCGATAGAAGGTCCAGTATTTTGTCATCGACTAACGGCCATATGACATTGTTCTTACTCTTGCTAAAGCATATTACCAAGGGTTTAGCACAGGTACTACACTTGCCGAAGCTATTAATTACGCCGATGAAAGTTGGAACTAAAACGCCGTTATCCCGTGCACTCAACAATGTTGCGATACAGCTATCACTGCGGAAAATGTCTAGTTCACCAGCTCTGATTTTAAGCTGTCTAGAGATAGTCCTTCCCAATCAAAAAGCAAAAGCAAAAGGAATGCTAGAATTAGCCCAGACTTGTTAGATTATCTACTAAAGAGGTCGAAAACAGCCCAATCAACATCGGTTCAGCGTTAGAGTAGCCAGATGGTGGTTAGAAGAGTACGAGAAGAGAATGGACTTAGCCTATAATGCAACTACGGCAGAGCCAGGCCACGAAAATACAATATAAGAGAGTTCGCGTGTAATGTGCTTGCGGGAACCTCGCACGAAGAAGGAATGCACTGCCCAGTTGCATGACATCGCGATAACGAATGTATAAACTATAGTGTCGGGGAGATAAGAGCCTAATAATCTCCGCTCTTAGGATAACTTCCGCGTCGACTATCCACAAAGCGCGACATAGCGCACATATTTCTCCCACAAGCTCGCCCGAGCTTGCTAGCCCTCTCTGGTCCGCCTGATCTCTCCGTTCGCCATGCCCACTCCAGCTTCAGATCGCCGTGGAAGCCGTGCGACGGGCGAGTGCTCCCTGGTGGGCCCTTGCCCGGGGGTCCCTCCACGGCGTCCGGGAGGCCGGTGTCGATTACATGGCCTTATCAGGCTTAGTCGACAAACGCCCCAGGAACCCAGGGAACATTTCTACGCGGTCCCTCGGGAACTGGCGGTTCTCGCTTCGGCCGTGGTCTAGCGAGAGCCTCAGCTCTGGCTGCGGGAGATTCGGCCCGGCGCTTGGCAACGCCATCTCTGTGCGCGCGAATCGGCTGCAGCTGCGGTGCAGCGGGTTGCGCGGGATTGCCTCCTCGGTTCGCGGTGACTGGCGGCGTGCGAGCAAAAGGCCTGCTGGGCGGTGCTAGTGGAAGGTGGCGTGGGCCGCGTGGTGGATATACGACCAAGGGGCGGGCGGCTGCTTTCGGCCGCTGGCGAGTTTTGCCGCCATCATTCCTAGTCTGTGGGGGTTTGCTTGGCCCCGCGGCTGGCGACGGACTTGCCTGGGGAGCCTTCTCGGCCTTAGGCTCGATGGGGGGATTTTCGATCGGGGCGTTGTTAATCCCCCGCCGTCGAAGAAGTGGACAAGCATCTGCGCAGCCGATGCCCGGCGATCTGGATGCAGCCTCGCCATGGGCTCGAGGGATGACTGCGAGGCTTTAGCTTCCAGTGCGCTCAGAACAATGCCGTAGTCGGACGTGTGCGGTGGAAACTCTTTGAACCGAGAGTCGACGGCAACGATGGTTGCGAAGAGGGACCATATGTCCATTTTGGGGCTCTGCGGGGCGTAGACCTTGCTCTTCTGGGGCCAGAGCTCAGGAGCCTGGTAGTAGCCCGTGCCACAAAACGTTTTGGCCAGCGAGCGGTGATGGGCGAGTCCAAAGTCGGCCAGCTGGAAATGGCGACTACCCTCGTCGGGCAAAGTGTAGTAGAGAATGTTGTCGGGCTTCAAGTCCCGGTGGAGCAGGTTCTCGCTTGCCAGGTAGTCGAGGGCGCTGAGCATCTGTCTTAACACGGTGAGGCAGAGCTCGTTATAGTCGGGAATCGGGGTGGTCTTGACAAGCGAGGTCAGAGAGCCTTCTCGTAGCGGCATAAAGATCTCCGGACAGAGAGTGTGGAAGTGTTGGTGACCTAGATATTCGATGATATGTGCCTAGGCGTATCGTCAGCACCACCGGGAACAGGCGGATAGGAGTTAGGGTACGCGATACCGACGCGGTTTAGCCTCTTCACGACCTTGATTTCCCTGTGGAGTAAGGCTCGCGCTGCATCAGCGTCGTCATATTTTTCGAGCTCGACCACTTTGATAGCAAATGTATGGCCCGAGGTCTGATCGACCGCTTGGAAGACTGTGCCGTAGGATCCCTCGCCTTTCCAGTCACGAAGATGCGGGATATTCTTGAAAAGAGAGCCCTTTACCGTATCTAGCCTGGTCATGTGCCACGACAGTGCCTCCGAGTTATCGGTCTCCGTTGGTCGGTCGCGCGATCTCACATCTTGTAACAGCTGCAAAGATGTCTGGTAGCCTTGAATAGTAAGGGTTTTAAGAGACTCGGTACCGGCGATCAGCCAGAGCAAATCAAATTCGTAAGATGCAATGGAGATCTCATAGTCCTACCCGTAGAGGATAACACCGTCCCCTGTAATTTGCTCTCCAGTGGTATCACCTCCTGGGACCTTCTGTACGGTTTTTCTCTCGTCTTTAGACTTGCGCACAGCGAATCTGACCGATGAAACCCGTTTCGATCTGACAGATAGAATAACAAGCTCTGTAGTAGGGTTGATCTTAAAGGCGACGTGAACTGCAGACATGGGGTTTCTGGGGCTGCTTTGGCGGAGAATCAGGTCGGCATTTCGTCCGAGTCTGGTGATGACATGGCCTCGAGGGATGGACGAGACATGATAGCCAACTTCAAGGCCAAGCGGGCCTTCCCTTGAGCTCAACACGAGGCGTTTATTGTCCGGGTGAAGGAGGGCGTCGTGGCCGACCTGATTGGTTGGTACGAGGTGGAAGAGTGTTTTTGGATGGGCGTTTGGAACCATGGCAAGAAGAGGACGGAGAGATGGAAGAGGACGGCCAGAAGAGTGTGAGAAGAGGATTCTATCTTATTTAAAGATGCACGCAGCACGGAAGGTGTCACAGCTAATGAATTGTAGGGGCCCGGCGCAGCGCGGCTGGTTGGCTAGTTATTATCCAGTGAGTCATATGAGGATTTACCCCTACAAGTTTCATTGGCTAGGATTGGCTCGCTTACACCTTCCCTGTTATTGCCATCGCTCCGCCAAGCAGCACGCGCTGATAAAAGCTTATCTATTGGCATTTCTTCTTCGGCATTTCGCGTTTCTTTCTTTCACGGCGACACGCCCACCACCCTTCTTCATACCTAACGACCTCAACCAGTTCAACCCTCCCCTCTTCACTCTTAGTCTCTTCATAGCTTCCTGTCCCGTCTACCGATCGGTCTAATCGTCAAACCATGCCTCCCTTTTTCGACCGTGTCCAACTTCACCAGGCTGTGAGCAGCCAAGCCGTCCCCGCCCTTGAGGCAATGGCTGCAAACGACAACCTGCGTTCGCTCCTCCGTTTTGAGCGCGATGATCCTCCGCCCTACGTATCGTCGACCGAGTCGGAAGAGCTCGACGACGCTGACCTTAACCCGCCACCGCGAGGTCGCCCGATGCCAGAAGAGCTGAAAGCCGTCATGGAGCGCCCGATCGACGACGACGAACTCGACCGCATTTCATCTATCTTGCGCTCAATCGTATATCCCGACGACTTCTATTACACAGAAGCGATGCGCGAGTATTACCGGCTCAACCACCGTAGTCGCGGCCCGCGGCCCGAGATGTTCAGAGGACTGGATGGCGTTCGGCGACAGGGTGTCATCGTTCGCCATAATGTTAAGCGTCGCTGGGAGAAGCTCGGCGTCTGGAATCCTGAGTGGGGTTTTGCCGGGCGTAAGGTGCAACCCAACGACAATTTCCGCAGGTGGACGTGGAGATGGCAGCCCGATGGGGCGGCAGACGACCTGATCCGCGCGTACCACGATGCGCGTGAGCTCGTTGCACGCGGCCTGCGCCTGCGCCAGAACCTGCGACGCGGCGAGCATGCCCCCGTGCTCCCGCGGTCTCGCCTCGGACAAGATACAACTACTGCCCAAGCCGAGGCGTTCCTCATCTCCAGGCCTTGGTTCATCTTTCAGATCGAAGTGGCCGAAGAAAAGGCGAGGTACCGTCGCCTCTCCAACGAGGATCGAAGACGCTACTCACACTCGGCCCGGGATCAAGTCATCGAGTGGTGGAAGGAGCGTGGGGACTGGAGGGGCGAGTTCAACGGGAACGACTGGGTTACTTCCTGGAAGTGGCGGCACGAGTCTCCCTCCCCAGAGCCCGAAGACCTCACACCCATCGACAACATGAAGGACAGCCCGCTGGAGGCGACAGACATGAAGTTCACTCCTTCTGAGATTGATGAGTTGGAGACTATTAAGCTCCCGAGATCCGAACAGCCCGAGGGTTTCTGGGTCATAGAAGAGGGAGACATGCCACCATCCTTTCCTGGACAGATGGTAGACGATGAAGCAAGGATTAGGAAACGCGAGAAAGAAAGAGCTGAGAGGCTCGAGAAAGCAAGAGCTGAGGGGCACGAGGAAGCAAGGATTGACCCTTTCTTGAAAGTATTTAAAGAAAAATTCTTCCCAGGACCGGGGCCGTTTCGTCTCTTCGGCCCGCCACAGCTAGTAGATCACGAAGAGGCATCCCTAGAAGAGCACGACGTATCCACAGAGCTCCAAGAGGACGCATCCGAGCTACAACGAGACGCCGCTTGCCCTCCACTGCAGAAGCAACGACGCCTGCGTCAGCGCCAACCGCAGGACGGGGTGGACAGGGCCCAAGACCAGGACCAGCTCCTCCCGCCACCCCGACGCAGTGCCAGGATCGCAGGCATGAAACGCCCCGCGGAGCCCTTACCGTCGCAAACGGCGCCGAACAAGAGACCTAGGGGAAGAGCAGTACCAAAGGCTGCAGCACCTGCCGCCGCACCTGCCGCCCAGCCTACCTCACGGAAGACCCATCGCACCAAGACAAGACTCGTCCCCGCACGCGCCCCACCAAAGGGGAAGACGGAGACTCGGCCGAGGCAAGGACGGGGGCGTCCGAGGAAGGAGAACGGACTAAGCATGCATTCTGCCGTGGGGAAGAAGAAACCAGCGAGGACACCGGCTCCGGCCGGGACCGGGAGCGACAGGGCTGCGGGAACGGATACGTCGGGTGTACCTAGGCGACGAGGGAGGCCGAGGAAGAATAAATAATATAAAGTAATTCTCTTCTTCTAGTATTTTAAAGCTAAAGGCGAATATAGTAGATAACTTATTAGAACTAGTTCTATAAGCTAAGATTCTATTAAAGATATAATCTAGCTAAGATAGAAATTTATAGTCTTTTACTATAACTCTTAGTTTCTATATAAGAACTTAAAACTTAAATCTACTATTTTATTTAAAATAGATTTACTACTTTATTCTTAAATTAACTTAGTACTCTATTATATAAGAGGCTATAAATCTAATAATATACTTTATAAGTAAACTAACTATATAAGTAAGCTAACTACTTTTACTAAGCTCTTACTAAAAAGCTATTATCTTAGTTAGATTACTCTAACTCTAAGCTACTTAAAATAAATCTAGATAAGCTATCTAACTTATTTATATTATCTTTAACTATCTAGTACGTTTATATATTATACTCTAGCTTACTATAGTATCTATAGTATTACTAAGCTAGCTAGCTATTATATACTACTACTTTTTTATACTACTTTTTACTCTTATTCTAATCTATAGTTTTTCTTTAAGTAACTAGCTATAAGCTAGCTTTAATTATAAGAGTATTCTTTTTCTAAATCTACTTTCTTTTATATAAATTACACTTCTTTTTCTATACGTTAGCTACTTAAAGCTAGATAACTTTAGACTCTATAAGTACTAGCTAATATACTATTAGCTTATTATCTTTTTTAAGCTAATTAAGTAACTTAATAATATAAGTTAGTAATAAATTAAAATACTATATAATTTTTTTCTAAATTAGAGTTTATTATAACTTTACTTTAGTAGAATTACTAACGTACTTTACTAGTAAGCTAACTATACTATTAAACTACTTTCTCTTAGCAAGAAAAATTAACGAAAATTAATCTATTTTTCTTAAATAACTAAGCGAAATCTTAATATCTTTCTATAAAAATTTATATATATATTCTTTATAGTATATTATACCTTATACTAGATTTAAACTAAGATATATTACGTAATTAAAAAGCTATACGTATTTAACTAACTTTTAAGAAAAATCTAGTTTTCTTCTAGTAAGTACTATTATATCTCTATAATAATCTATAAAACTTATATTATATAGTATCTATTACCTAATAAAGATTTCTAGAAAACTTTTATAGAGTAAGCTCTTCTAGATATAGTATAATAAGAGATAGAAGTTAGAAAAATATCTTTTTTAGAGTTTTCTCTTTTAACTATATAAACTTATTATTATATATATTATAGTAGGCTTTAACTATATAGCGCTTATTAACTAATAATATAGTAGCTTTAAATAGTTATTTAAAAGTAAAGTCTTTTTAGTAGTATAGTATAGAAAGAGAGAAATATACTAAAACTATTATTACTTCTAAATATATAGATAACTTATAGTATATATAATCTTATAGTATATAACTTTATATAGCTAGATTATTTATATATATCTATAGTTAGAGAAGAAAACTCTAGAAAGATTTTTTTAAACTTTTATCTTTTATTATATTATAAATACTATATACTATAAGTTTTATATATTATTATAGAAATATTATAATACTAACTAGAAGTAAAGTAGATTTTTTTTTAAAAGTTAGTTAAATATATATAGCTTTTTAATTACGTAATATATTTTAGTATAACTTTAGTAGAAGGTATAATATACTATAAGAAATATATATATAAAGTTTTATAGAAAAGTATTAAGGTTTTACTTAGTTATTTAAGAAAAGCTTGTTAATTTTTATTAATTTTTCTTGCTAAGAAATTGTAAGGCGTTTAGTAATATAGAGTATTTACTAATAAAGTACGTTAAAGTATTTTATAAAGTTTTATAGTATTTAGCTTAGTAATTCTAGAGATATTAGCTTAAAGAGTCTCTAATAAGTAGTTTAGAGATTTCTTCTAGAAATAGATAGATATTACTAAGCTAGATACTACTAAACCTTATAAAAGGCTTTAACGTACTTTATAAATAAATGCCTTATATAAATAAACGCTCTAAAAATACTAAGCTAGAAAAATTAAAAGGTTTTTCTTAAATAACTAACGTACTTTACTACTAAACGCTCTATACTACCGAACGCTCTACACCACCGAACGCCCCACAATTTCTTGGCAAGGAAAATTAACGAAAATTAACAGGTTTTTCTTAAATAACTAAGC